TATACATACACATATATATATATATAAGATTATATATATATATAAAATAATTATACATAGACGGTACACATACACACAATGAAGAAAAAACACACAGACAGACAGACATATACACGAATGATTATTATTACTATTATTATTATTATTAATTATTATTATCGAAGCATCAAAATATTCATAAGTTATCAATCGTTTGTTTCTCGAACAATATATGTTTTTTCTATATCTCTCCGTATTAAAGCAAATAATAAAAAATCTCTCAGTGAATGTTAAGAAAAAGATAAAAAAAGACTTAAACAAAGTAAAAAGCCCAGGCTCTCTGGTTCTCCTCCTCATTATTACATCCAAAACACCTCATTTTTTCCCTCTTTCTTTTTTTATGATTTAAGTTCAAATTTAAAATTTAATTTTTGCAATAAATATTGTTCGAAGCGTACAAATTAATTAGTTTGGAACTTTATGAATATATATACCATTTGTCTTCTCAATTTTTCAATATCTCTTTTAATGTCAATCAATCTTTTTTACTTCTATAATTTATATAAAATGTTAAGCGATATTTATTCGTCTATATTTTCTTATTTAGGTCTCTTTCATGTTATCCATCGCTTGCTATGAAGACAAGACAATTCAAGTTAATTGAAATTAGGAACCACGATATAATATAGCCGATAATTAAACATGATTAAGCACAAAATGGAATTTTATTGAAGCAAGAATAAATTGTATTACAAATTATTCGTCATCTCAAGAAGTTAACACAAACCAGGATGGCCCTATATCTGTCAATGTTTGTAAAAAAGAAGGTGCAAAAATTACATCCAAAGGAAAATAGAATAATTCATTACTATTAATTATAATTCTATGTACCAAAACATTATGACAAGAACAAAACTACTCAAAACGATCTCATAAGAAGCTTTCCTCAATGCAATAGATTGGCTGGTTATATTACAACAATTATTCCTTGCCTCTTCAAGAACCATCGGATAATATTCGTTCCAGAAAGCCAATGCTTTGTAATCAATTGCATTGGAATTGCTCATATCGATGTTCCTATCGATAATCAAGATCCCAGGCTCTTCCTCAGTGTACGATTCCCATTTAACATTACTCAGGGATGGATTACCAACCCTGGCAAAACTAGCCAACATCGCCATCATCACGTCAGCCATTTTTTTGTCAGCGAAGTTCCACTGAACAGGGCTGTTAACTAATAGGGGAAGTCCCCAGACAAACGGTAGCTCGAACATGTGGGGAACGCCAGCCCATTCAGGCACATCTTTAATGATAGATTGTGTCTTGGGCCTATAGTCAAATCTATAAACGAATGCTCGCTTCTCCTTGGATACCTTATCAGCTAACAGAGTAAGCCCAGCTGCAAAATTTTTCTCCGTTTGCAAGTCCAAGTATCTATCCCGAAGCACACCTTGATCCTTGCTCGGCGGATGAGGTTTATAAAAAATAATACCGCCTCTGCGACCATTTCTGGCTTCAGCTCGCAGGTACTATTATCTTCCGGGCTCTGGACCAATGATACAAACTCGTCAGTGATTAGCATCTCGAACTTGTTAAACGAAAGTTTACCATCTGCGTTCTCCTTGCTTAGGGACTCTATGTAAGCCAATGCCTGTTCATTATTCGTATAACCAACGAGTAGAGGGACAGAATTCAAAGTGCCACTGTCTAATGCATCCCTTGGATGCATAGATAGAAACGGTTCTGTGGAGTTATTAGTTGTATAATCAACAATAGGACCCCACGTTTCTATTTCTGAGGATTCACGGACCAGGATGTTTACGTCTACTCGACGAAGACACTCCATCAAGGCTGATGTGGGTTGTCTATAACAACCAAATTTTTCGGCGATGATATCAACCACCGGTAATTCCATTTGTGGTGAACCCACAGAGCTTACTGCGTCTCCGCTCATGGCAATGGCCTTGGAGAATTTGCCTCTGCTCAGAGGACTAACCAGGTGCAAACCTACACTTATGGCGCCCGAACTATGGCCATATATTATCACATTGGACGGAGAACCACCAAAATTCTTGATCTTCTTCTGAATCCAGTCCAGTGCTGCTATTTGATCGAACATGCCATAATTACCTGGAGCCTCTGCGTCCGTGGTTGTGAAGAAGCCAAGGATATTGAGACGATAAGCCACCGTGACCACCATGATCTTGAAAAAGATCAATTAAATCGTTAGCGTGTTAGAATTAGAGATTACAAAGAGTTTTTTTGAGAATATGAGCGAGAGGCAATATTGTTAATGGATAGGTTATAAGAGTTTTCGAAGTTACATGTTCCTTCTTAGAGGGGTTAGGATCTTTAACTGCGAAAGATTGCGGTTTATATTTTCTGAATCGATTTTTCCTTTTTTTTTTTCAACTTTCTGTAGATCAGATATTTGAAGAAAATGGAGCTTTGAGAGATTAGGAACGTGTGAATGTTAAGTTACGATAATTAATCTATACGATTCATTCTGCTTTAAACAATATGTTAGATAGGAAGATGTTTATAAGGTAGATTATTAATATTGTCTATATAAGATTTTCTATTATAACGTCGTTTTTACATTGCTTTGTAAGACTATAAATGAATTAGTAGTGTTAGATATGTTCTTATAATAATAGTTAGATTATGAGGTCTCTTGTATTACTGTATAATATATCGTTGTATGTTTCTATAACAATTTTTAAGAATCGTTAAACGTGTTCCCTCAACAATGAATTCAACGTTAATATTTCCGTGGCCGTTGTTCCTGAATTAACATTTACAGCGTTACCTAAGGTATGCATCATAGATGGACCGTTGTCTGTGCGATTCCAAAGGTTAAATTTAGCTTTGGGTTAGCTAAAGCACGCAAGAAACATCCTAATTTCCTTCGATTTTCTGTCGACTTTCATCGTCAGCTCTCGATTGATTCGCGATTTGAAATTCTTTTCCTTTATGTACAGAATATAAGGTCAAAACATCATCTGCTGATCATACAACGTCCTTCCAATGTAAAAATAATAAAGCCTAGCTTGTTAAATAATATTCGCAAAATGTAAAAAAATCACATTTCCTTTTTACTATAAATTAATTTGAACTTAGATTTTTATTCTAGATAATTAAAAATATGTAATTTTATAACTGTTTGTTATGTTTATGACCATTTTTGGAATCGAGTTATGTAATAAGTGAAAATTATAATTTAAAAACTTTTTAGAATCTAATATATATATATATATGTATTATATATTACATATATATATATATATGTTAAGTAACTTACTTTATATTTGTTAACGAAAAATGATGCATCCCATATAGCTGGAGTGCCAGTGTTAAAATCACCACCATGAAACCACACCATAACAGGCCATCCATCGTCTGGACTGTTACCTATAGGAATCAAAAATCTATATAATATAAAATATTTACAACACAATGCGATTTACATATTATTTAAATAATATTGAATGATAACGATTTACATTTCCAAACTTCTGTATAATTTAAAATTAAAAAGACTTAATGCGTTTCCCATTTTATTACTTGTTAATTGTAAACCATAGTTATTTGTTATGATTTTATAAAATTGTTTTATTATTTATTGTTTTAAGAAGCAATTAACAAAGTGGGAGAAAAAAAATAATAGTTGTTAAATGTTTGATGACATTTTGACATGACTGAATTTCGAGTAATTAACGAGACAACATTCACAAAATTCTGAAGATGGTGAAAAACGCGTGCGTGATGACAAATATGCATTCTCATTTTCGGTCAAAGAATCGATCGTGACAAAATTTGCATATCGTCATTCTTCCAGCAATGATCTATTGTAAATGGTTACAATCATTACAATGACCAAATTTTTAGAAAGTAATGAAGTTTATTAATATTTAAAATAAGAAATCAAATTATAATTATTGTAGAATAGAAGTTTATATTTAAAAGATACAAGAAATTGGACAATAATAGAATAAGTTAAATATATAGCAATAATTCAAAAAAAATATGATTGACTATATTAAAAGTCTCTATTGAAGTCATTAATAAAAACTTGAGAAATATTGAAGAATTTCATAAAATATTTAAAGAACAAATTTCTAAAGAACTTATCTAGTATTAGCAATTAATTCTCTCTATTTATCTAATTATTAACATCCTACAACAAAAAATTACACTTCCAAAATCAATGTACTAAATACAAAAAAAAAAAAAAAAAATACTATATTGGCGAAATATTAATTATGATGCATTCAATAATTGTATATTTAACATCAAACTGAAAAGCTGAAAAACTTTCATGAAGCAGTATCACAGTTGAAAAGGCACGAAGCCCATCTAGCTATCGTTTGAATAATTAATTTCGGTGATTTCTTCCAACGGGCTGTATAACATGTGGCGTGTGGTCGGTTTTTGAAGCGTGCCAAGGTCGAGGAAAATTCAGGCCATTGCTCGGTAGGATAAAACTTTAGATGATACGATAAGTATAAGTAGACGATAGAAGTTCGGAAGTTTGGCTTGGTCTTCGTTATCGTGCTCCCTATGATGGTGTCTGAATTGTCCAAGAATAACCTTTCTTCAGGATACAACTTTGCCACAACGATTCATTAGACGCTTATCACGATTGCACACGGCACGAATCTTTTTCTAACAAAAGTCTACAAGTCGGGTTAGTTGTTTGGACGAAAGAATTGATTATTAATTATAGCTTTTGATTTTCAATTGCATAGGTCAGAAGGGATATTTTATAAGAATGAATTTGAAATTTAATCATTTGAGAAGATGAACTACAGATGTAAGAGAATAGTGAGATTTCAGGAAGATTCATGGAAAATATTTGCATGTTTGTTTGGAAGTGATTATGTAAATGTTTTTAAATAATTGTTTAAAAATTAGACGTTAATTATTCAGGTAAGTTGGTGAAAGAGAATGAAATAAATGAAATAAGAAAGAGAAGGATGTAAAACAAAAGATGCTGTAATCAGAAATGATATAATTGTTGAAAAATAAAAATACTTAAATAGTTTAATTATATATTTTCTAAACATAAATCTATATCCTCAAATTTAAAGAAAAATATAAAACATTTTACAAATGCACAATATAAATTTAAAAATAAAGACAATTCATGCACATCATATAACTCAATTTTAAAGATATTTATTCAACACTTTATTTATAAAATTTAATTAAGTATCTAAATATGATTTAAGAGATTTTCAAATATCATCTAAACATAAAAAAAGCAACAATTTTATAATATCTATAAAATTTTAGTAATTTTTTATCTTAAAAATCCATAAAAATAGTAGCCTTAGTAAAAAAAATAAATACAAAAATAAATAATAATGAGTTTTAATTCTGATTTTAAATCTGTTTAAAAATGTCATTTACTATAGAAAAATAATTTTTTTTTGTTTGATAGTTCATAAGAAATTAATTAATTGAAAAAAAATTAAAAAAAAATATCGATTTGAAAGATTTGATTATAATGTTGGGTTAGGACACAGAATGACGAGGATGGTTTCGTGACCGGCCTCAACAGTATCTTAACATCTCGACCAACTAAAAGATCGCGTGCTACGACGTGCGCCAGTTACTGTTACTCTTGTTCCTTGTTTCTATATCGACCGGAGTTAACTTTGCGAAATCGACACGATTTCCCGATTTACCGGTTGTCCCCTATCCAATTTTCTCTCTTTTTGAGTCTCTATATACGTGATGTATATATATGTGTATCTTGTACGTGTTTATTTCTTTTTAAAAATTTTACTCGAAAATTATAATATACTTTTTTATGATTATGTAAAATTATTTTCTAAATTTGACTATTTGTTAGAATTTTTGAGTAATCAAATTGAGGAACCTACATGTGATTTTGTATATTCCTAACCTTTTCATTTTGTAGATGGAAAGAATGAAATATTTCATAAATTGACCCTTCTATTGGCAATAAGTACTATTATAAACCTGTCCTATATGATTGATCGATATGATTTAAACTTTCCTTCTCGTTAATAAATCTTCATAAGCAATCTTATAATTTTTATTTTTTGCACCTATCATATCATCGATTATTCAAATAAAATTCTTCGTATCTTTATCAGTTTCTTACAATTACAA